GCCACTGCCCTGCGCCTGGCAGAGCCTGCCCAGCTGTCCGAGGGTTCTGCCGGGAGCGCAAAGCGGGAGGTAGCCCAGCAGGTGTGGGTTTGCCCAGCAGGTGAGGGTTTGCCATGTGAGAATTTGCTCAGATTTCAGGGAGCCGCTCCGGCAGTTCTCAGAAACCCTGCCGCGGGCGGCCCCCCGCGGGACAGGCGTTGGCAGCCAGTGGCTGGAGGGAGGGGTCTGGGAAGGCCCCTTCTCAGGCTGCACTACTCAGCTGGCCCTGGGTGGGGGCCTTCATCATCCCTGAGCTCTACCTCCTGCTCCCCTCACCGTGAGGTGTGACATCTCAGCCAGGGAATTAAAATAGAAGCTGCTGCTCCCTGGCTGGAGACAGATAAGGCATCTGGGCCTCCCTTGGGCAGCCCTGATGGGCCACTGGTGACAGGCTAGGGTGTCTGAGTGGCTGCAGCACCCTTCCAACCAACTCTAATCTGCAGCCCTGCCCCCGCTCTCCATGGCCCCCACTGCCCGGCACAGACTTGTGGTATCAGCTGGGAGACCAGGCGGTGACCTTGAGAGGGACTGAGGGGGTGGGGCACGAGGGGATTGGGCTCTCCCCTGGCCCTGCCCTCCTGGCCCACCCTTGTCCCCTCCCCTCCTTTGCAGGCCCAAGGGTTTCCTTCTTACTGCCTCCCCTCAGGCCCTGGCCAAGTAGTCCCCACCCATCCTGGCCAGGTAGGCCAGCCCAGGCTGCGGCCTCTGGGCTGCTTGGGGTCTGGGCTTGAACTTAGGAATGGAGAGTGGGCACAGGCTGTGGAGCAAGGGCCCGGGGGCCCAGGGCTGGACTTGCCAGCTTTGCCTTGTTCTTGGAGGCCCGGCACAGGGCAAAGGCCAGCTCAGGTGGGCAAGAGTCGTCCATGAGGCGCCTTGGGACCTACCAAGCCTGCACCTAAGGCCTCTGCCTGGCCTCCCCACCCCTCTCCTGCACCCTCGGAGCCCAGCCTTGGGTCCATCCCCAGAGCTGAGCCCAGAGTCCTGTTGCTGTCATTTGCTGACGTGGCCAGAACAGGGCACATGAAGACGGGTGCCCCGTCGGGTCCATGCCACTGTCGCCCCAGGAGAGGGACTGCCCCCACACCCGGCCTGGCCACCTCGGCCTGCCTGCTCCCTTCAAACCTGGCTGTCTGTACCCAGCCTCACGTCCTACTCACTGGGAGCCCCCCTCCCTCTGTCACCCTTGGTAGCCTCATGGTGGACACTGCTGCTCTCTGTCCCCTGATCAGTGCCCCTTCCATCCAGGCCCGGAGTCGCCCTGGTGCAAGAGGGAGCCTGTGGCCTGGGGATCCGCCCCGCCTTTCTGCCCCTTCAAGCCTCTCCAGGGCATCTGGCCCGTGCCCGATACCTTTCTTCCACTCCACTTCCATCTACTCTCCAGGCGGGGCTGGGGGACGGGGCAGGGGCCCTTCCTCCCGGAAGACACCTGTGACGGCCAGCCCTGCCCCCACGGCAGTGCCGCAAACTCCAGCAGCAGGATGGCGTCAGGGACGGTGACGCCGGGCCAGGGACGCCCAAGCTGGAGAGGGCACAGCAGCCCATGCCAAGTGACGGGCAGTGGGCCATGAATTATTCAGAGACACCCGACGCCTGCCTCAGGAGTGGGCTGAGAGTGATCTGTGGGGAGACCCAGCAAGCCACCCTGTCCGGGGAGGCCCCCTTGGTTGGCACAGGGCCAGCGTCGGGCGCAGAGGGAGAGGGGCTGGTCAGGCTGGTCAGTCAGGCTTGGGGAGAATTTGTTTCAGTGGCTCTTGTGAGTGCAAGGAGGGGACAGCCACCTCAAGGAGCTGGGCCAGGGCCGGTGCCAGGAACGCCTGGGTTCTGGAGGCCAGGGGACACGCTTGCTCATCGCTCCACAGATGCACCTGGCACCAGAGGCCAGGAGCCAGTAATGGATGCCACCAGGCCCCAAGTCCTGTGATGGGGCAGGTGCACCAGACAGAGGTAGACAGCCTTGAACACACAGGGGTCCCTGGTCATCTGGGTCTGGGGTGGTGGCTGTCCACCTGTCAGGTTGAGGCTCAGCAGGGGGCTGGGGATTCAGAGAAGGGTCTATGAGAAGGGGAACCCTAGGGAGGAGACGAGGTCCCCCCAGGACCCCCAGTGGTTGGGGGGGGCGGTTAGGACCGGTCCTGCAGGCTAAGGGGTGGAGGCAGGGAAGGGTAGCAGTGGTCACGCAAGCCCCTGTTGGGGGAGGGCTGTGGGGTCCCAGCAGACTGGCCCTCCCGGAGGATGCTTTGGAGCCAAGAGGCTGCCGGTTGGGAGGCTCTGGGCCCTGAGCTGGTGGGGCCCGAGGAGTGACGCGCCGGCAGGGATCCTGGGGGCTGAGGGAGAAGGCACAGTGGCAAGTCCGGCGATCCCCGTCCCTTCCCCCCTCTCTCCTCCGTCCCTACCGCCCCCTGGAGGGCAGAGCTCGGGGAGCGCGCCTTCAGCGCCCCAGCACAGTCCCGCGCGTCTCCTGGCTGCCGGTCGCCCCCGCCCCCTTCCAGCAGCTTTTCTCTCGCTGTTTTTGGAAGTGGCGGGCGCCCTGCCCTCCTCCCGCTGAGCCTTCGGCACCACCGACTGTGTGGGGCGGGGAGGGGGCGGGACCGGGTCTGGGCCGGGTGGAGGAGCCCGCCAGGAATCCAGCTCCGATCCCGCCTCGCGGCCGTTGTTATAGAAACCAAGCAACAAAGGGAAGCAGGGAGCGCGGCAGGGTGGGGGTAGGGTCCCCCCGGGGGGAGCCTGGGCGCCGGAGCCTGGAGCGGCGGGCGGGTCCGCCGTCGGGGCATTCGTTTGTGTGTCCAGGGGCCGCCCT